ATATATATAAATGTCGTGTTTTCGGCTCTATTTTTTACAGCAGAGTAAATCGTGCGCAAAAACCTCACAACGTTCCACAATAGAAGCTATTTCCAAGTCATTGTAAAACATTTTTATGTACTGTCCAAACAGAAAGCAACAAGATGAATGCCAGCTGTCTGTGAGCCCAAGGTAGAAAAATGACAATGAGCCCACAGCGTGGCAAGATGACAGATAGACTGAGCAGACGGATAGATAGAGCTTTACAAAGGTTATTCATACGACGAGGCACACAAAGGGCTTTAATGCTGTTCTCTGCTGCAGGGTTATCTGTCATCTCTGTTTATAGGACAATAGGGAGTGCTTATTGTCGACTGGAGTGTGTGTTTGTGAGTGTGTGTGCGTGGGGACTCACTGCCTCCTGATCCCTCTGTGTCTCCAGGAAAGATGAAAACTCCACCAGTCGTAGTTTGGTGGTGCCGATGGAGCGACCCTGCCACGCCGGCTCTCTGTGCGTTTGGGCGGCGGCGGGGGGCTCGTAGGCTGGACGACACACAAACACACAGAGTTTAACGTCGGTTCATCGCAACGGACAAACAGGAATTTTGTGCTTTTTTAAAAAATAAACATATGAATGGTCCGATGTGAGGCGGGAGTGTTGAACTCCAGGTGGTCACTGGAGACTTGGATTTTATTTACTCTTTGTGAAACATGAAAAAAGTTATTCTGAACTGAGTGACTCATCTTCAGCTGCTTCGGCTGTTTCTGGAGGTAAAATGTTTCATTTAAGGATTTTAAACCAGGGCCGGCCCGTGGCAGAGGCAGTATAGGCAAGCGTTAAAGGCCCCGTCCATGCAGGGGGCACCACAAACGAAACAATTTAAAAAAAATCTTTTTACTTAGAGCACACATGTCTGTTTGCCTGCGGGCCAAATGTGGCCCTACACAGCATTTTACGCGGCCCCCGAGATCTTCAAAGATGTGTTAATGTCTTTAAAATAAGCATTTGCTGTTTTAAACCCGACACTAGCTGTGTTTCCATTGACCATTGACCCAGAATGCTTTGCGTGTAAATAAAATGGCTCCGTCCATGATAAAATTCATTTTAAAAAATTTACAAAACATCCTACAGTATTTTTACAGAAATGTTTTGTTTATTTTTTTAATGAAATGAATAAAAAAGTCCCTGTTGTATGTTTATTTTCTTGCCCATATGAACAGAACATTTTTAAGAAATAAAATACCAGAAAATAAAGCACAACTAGACATGGGTTTTTACGATGTAAAAACAACTTGTAGCATGTCATTGCAGCATGGCTTTGCCTGCAGCAGTGGACTTGCAGAATGAAATGTGACCAAGTTCAAATGTGTTTTCTACCAACTTGTGCTTGTCAAGTCAGCAGGTGTTTGTGATAATGGTAATTGTGTGACAATATGAAGTTTAAAGAGAATTTTAGTTAAAGTTGCTGTAGCTGGGTTTTGAACCCTGATCTCCCACATGAAAGCCTATGGCATTAACCATGAGACCACTGGAGCTGTGGCAGAAAAGATTGCCAGGAGTTGGTTTGTATGTGTGCTGAAAGAGGCCACATTGCCAATGCAAWTGTTGACACTAAACTTTAATATATCACAGCAATAGAGCAATATTAGGACAATATAAAAGTAAATCATCAAAATAGAGTCATATTAGTATTGTAACCACTGAAATATTGTGATTAAATATTATTAAACTATGGTTCAGTACTGAGTAGATACAGCAGGGTGCAGTATTGGACCAATACAAGGTTCCATTGACACCCATTGTAAATTATTATTAAACATTAATATTTCAAAAACTATACGTTATACAGGCACCAAAAGGCAAAGCCATCATTTGGCACAGGAGCTTTACAGATATAAATTACAATGGCAGCTCTAGGACAAAGTATGCAGGAGGAGAAGCATGCCAATGAGGAGATGACTTGGATGGGAAACTAATCACAATAGTGTGCATTGCATTGGCAATGCACACTGATAATAAATCTATACAACATCCTTAACTTCATACATTTCACTTGTAAAGGTTCAGTTTATTGTGTTAATGGTTTTGTTTCAGAGGTAGTTATTATGATTTTAATTGTAATAAAAACAGATTATTCTGAACGTAATGAAAACGTTCTTAGATGATAAGTCAGGCTCCATCTTTCCAAACTCTTTGCAGAACAAAAGGAGAATGAGGTGGAGACCCGGGTGTCCCAGCAGGGTCAAAAACCACCCTGTGGTGAGAAAACATTAAAGCAGGCAGGAGAGAGAGCTGACAGAAAGGAGATAATTGTCTCACCTGCGATTGTGGTGGTCCCTGACGTCTGCACAGAGTAGGCTTGCTGGGAGAACGGCTTGATGCTGAGGGAGAGGGGAAAAAAAACAGAGGAGAGGCCATTACTCTGGAGACTGGAAGAAGAAGAGACACAGTGGGAACCGGTCTCATTGTAGCCACATTATACAAAAAAGAACTCTGTTCTGTGTCTTGTATAAAGAGAAGCAGGAGCTCAGAGGTCAAGAGCAGCTGTGAGTTCAGTAAAAGCTTCACAGCCCCATTTACTACCATTATCATCATCTCGTGCACATGGAGCAATGCCGCGAGCCACGTGAACACAGGAGGCTGGTTTCAAGATCTCTACAGGTGCTTATTGTATCGACAATGACGAGGTAATCAGTGGTTTTCAGTATGTGAGTTAATCACATCGATGCTTTGTGAATAATCAGCTCAGATTATCATGCATGTGCAGAAACAGCCTAATGGTGCTTTCAGATGCTAATTAACCAGACTGGGAGAAAGAGGTTTCTTCATGTTTTCCTTCTACAGGAAAACAACAAAACATGGCTTCATTAGAAGACTTCACAGTAAAAAAAAAACCTCATATAATATTTGGTCCCCACTCAAAAACTGGGTAAAATATAGCCAGTGTTAAATTCTCAGAGTTAATTTTACTAAATTTAGTGTCAAAATCAACAATAAAACATGGAGTTCATTTTACACTAAATTTACTTTAAAAACTACACTTTATTGTGTAATACTATTATTTACTTTTTTCTTTTTTACACAGTATGAGTCAACTCTTGTAGTGTTGTGTTAACACGTTAGCAAAGCAGCGTAAAACAGTGACCCTTCACACACCAGGAAGTACCTCTAACTCATCGTATCCATTTACGACCAATAACACAAAACTTGAAAAACTAACCAACCTGCACAAGACAACTAACCAAATTATAATATTATAATCTGATTATAATCCAGATTAGAATCCAGATTATAATCCCTGATTAACTCATTCTTACACTCATGAACACTTTTAATAGTTTTAGACATGCAAACACATCATTTCTATAAAATTACCCATCATTCCTTGATCTGATTATAATCCAGATTATAATCACTGATTAACTCATTCTTACACTCATTAACAATTTTAATAGTCTTAGACAAGAAAATACATTTCTACAAAATTACCCATCATTCCTTGATCTGATTATAATCCAGATTATAATCACTGATTAACTCATTTTTACACTCATGAACTCTTTTAATAGTTTTAGACAAGCAAACACATGATTTCTACAAAATTACCCAGCATTCCTTGATCTGATTATAATCCAGATTATAATCCAGATTATAATCCAGATTATAATCACTGATTAACTCATTCTTACACTCATGAACAATTTTAATAGTCTTAGACAAGAAAATACATTTCTACAAAATTACCCATCATTCCTTGATCTGATTATAATCCAGATTATAATCACTGATTAACTCATTTTTACACTCATGAACTCTTTTAATAGTTTTAGACAAGCAAACACATGATTTCTACAAAATTACCCAGCATTCCTTGATCTGATTATAATCCAGATTATAATCCAGATTGTAATCACTGATTAACTCATTTTTACACTCATGAACACTTTTAAAAGTCTTAGACAAGCAAACACATCATTTCTACAAAATTACCCATCATTCCTTGATCGATTATAATCCAGATTATAATCACTGATTAACTCATTTTTACACTCATGAACACTTTTAATAGTCTTAGACAAGCAAACACATCATTTCTACAAAATTACCCAGCATTCCTTGCTGAGAAAATTCTGGGCCATGAGGAAGAGGGCGGGGCTTTTCAGAATACTTCTTTCAACACTGCATGGTGTTATACTGTAAAACAACACTGTTAAGTTAACAGTGGGCGGAGCTTATTTAACACTGCACAGTGTTGAGACAACACTGAGGAAATCAACTCTGTGAATTAACACCAACACTGGAAGTCAGTTTAAATATGTGTTAAAATAACACTTGAGGAGCTGAAATTAACTCTGAAAAGTTTAACACTGAAGGTTTAACACTCCGGTTTTTACTGTGCAGTGTTAATTCTGCAAAACAGAAAAGAGAACACTTCTATCTGTTAGTTATCTATGGGAACAAAAAAAAGTCTAAATCCCAAATAAAAAAAACAGATCCAGATAAGATCCTTTTCAGTTCATCTGCATCTAAAATGACCTGATAAGTTTATTTACAAGCAGGAATGTATCATCTGAGCTCAACTCACTCCTCTGTGACGGAGCTGGACTGTCCTCCTGGGATCATCCCCTGCCACAGCTGAAAAGACATAAATACACACATTAACACAGCCGAGTGTAAACACAAGTGTGTGTGTCGTCACCTGTTAATGTGGTCACCAGATTATACAGGAGGGAAAAAATATGTTGTTATTATTCCTCTTCTTGTCTTTGTATTTACTCTGGAAAAATAAGAGCTGTGTGTGTGTGTGTGTGTGTGTGTGTGTGTGTGTGTGTGTGTGTGTGTGTGTGTGT